GAGCGGTTCGCTTACTACGGGATTTCGTCGAATCTGATAACGTATTTGACTGGACCACTGGGACAGTCTACGGCTACTGCTGCTGCTAACGTCAATGCCTGGTCTGGAACGGCGTCGTTGCTTCCTCTCCTTGGTGCTTTCGTCGCTGACTCCTTTCTAGGTCGTTTCCGTACTATCCTCGCCGCTTCTGCTCTCTATATATTGGTATGAATTCGATTCTCTGGTTCATACACCAACATAGCCTTTTTGATCTCTGGTTCTTGAAGAAACGATTTAGAAAAATGGTGTGTATTGGTGAATTTAGTCTGATGGTATAGTGATTTGATGAAACAACAGGGGCTTGGTATACTGACTTTATCTGCCATGATTCCTTTAGACTGCAAAGTTTCAAATCTACTCTCCTCGTGTTCTTCTCGATTTCAAGTGATTGTATTCTTTAGTGCCCTGTATCTTGTGGCGTTAGCACAAGGCGGGCACAAGCCGTGTGTTCAGGCTTTTGGAGCGGATCAGTTTGATGAAAAGGAACCTGAAGAGTGTAAAGCAAAGAGTTCTTTCTTTAATTGGTGGTATTTCTGCATGTGCGTTGGAACGTTAACGACCCTATGGGTCTTGAATTACATCCAAGACAATCTCAGTTGGGCACTAGGATTTGGTATTCCATGCATTGCTATGGTAATTGCTTTGACTATATTCTTGCTCGGAACCAGAATTTATCGCTTCACCATTCGAAGAGAAGACCGAAGCCCTTTTGCGCGGATTGGTAATGTTTATGTAGCTGCTGTAAAGAACTGGAGTGTATCAGCTTCAGCTATAGCTGATGCAGAAGAGAGCCTTGGTCTAATGTCTCACAAAAGCTCTCAGCAATTTAGGTAAGACATGTTTCTGTTTCTTTTGATTTCCTTGTTACCACATCGTCATTTACCAGAGAAAAATCCTTACAGTAACTTCTAGGATCTTGTTACAACTGCAGTTTTCTCAACAAAGCTCTGGTCGCAACAAATGGTTCTTGTAATATAGATGAACTTGAAGAAGCAAAATCAGTGCTTAGGCTAGCTCCGATATGGTTAACTTGCTTGGTTTATGCGGTTGTGTTTGCACAGTCTCCAACTTTCTTCACCAAACAAGGAGCCACGATGGAGAGATCAATCACACCGAATTACAAGATCTCTCCGGCTACCCTCCAGTCCTTCATCAGCCTCTCTATTGTAATCTTCATCCCCTTGTACGACCGCGTACTCATCCCAATCGCAAGATCATTTACACATAAACCAGGTGGAATCACGATGCTTCAGAGAATCGGCACAGGCATATTCATCTCTTTCCTTGCTATGGTAATAGCCGCTCTAGTGGAGATGAAAAGGCTTAAAACCGCTGCTGATTACGGGCTAGTCGATTCTCCAGACGCTACGGTTCCAATGAGTGTGTGGTGGTTAGTTCCTCAGTATGTTCTCTTCGGTATCACGGACGTTTTTGCAATGGTGGGTCTTCAAGAGTTCTTCTATGACCAAGTCCCGCGTGAGCTGAGGAGTGTGGGATTGGCTCTGTACTTGAGCATATTCGGCATTGGTAGCTTTCTCAGCAGCTTCATGATATCAGTTATTGAGAAAGCTACGAGCCAATCTGGTCAAGTGAGTTGGTTCGCAAACAACCTAAACCAGGCTCATCTGGATTACTTTTACTGGTTACTCGCTTGTCTCAGCTTCATTGGCTTTGCCTCATACTTGTATTTTGCGAAGTCTTACATTTCTAAGAGGCTCAACACCATTTAAACCTTAAATTCTCTCTTCCAAATGTCGCAGGTACGCACTCTTTTCTCTGTCTCTACCTGTAATGT